ATTAAATCTACTGGAATCCAAAGGTTCTTTATGGGGCTCAATTAAACTTTGGTGCCAGTCCCATTAAATTGGAGAGGGTTCGATCTATTTTTTTTAAGGAAACTGTTTCAGGAGCACCAAGGCTTAATTGAGCCCCATAAAGAACCACAGTGCTCTGGAAAGAAGTAGAACTTTAATAAGTTCTACTTCTTTCCAGAGCACTGTGGTTCTTTATGGGGTAGAGATCAGGATAAGGATAAACATCTTGCATTGTTGGGGCACTATAAGAAACTAGAAAGCCTTCAAGAATCCCACCTTGCCATACTCTGTTTTCTCCATTACACAGCTGGGAATCAATGGAACAAACTTTTGTCATCCATGCTACAAATGTATGTCCTACCACCTTTGCAGGAACTTAGCTCCTGCAACAGAGGAAAAATTAGAGATAGGCTCTTTGAAAAAGGATGCCAATAAAGATGCCATTGCAGTACAGTCATCCAAATTTTCATCTTGGTAGCATCACTATAAAACAGACAGAAGCCTCTCCTAGTAGCTGGTTAATATAACCAGTGCCTCACTGAGAAGGACTTTTACATCTCTTTGCCTGCAGACCATCCCTCAGCATATTTCAAAGGGAGATTTTGTAACCACCCTGTTGAACAACATCTTTGTCCTTGTGGTGTGGGTCAAATGGAGGACATAAGTCAGGTTGCTTACTTTTGTTAAGCTATCATTTAATCTTAGAAAGAAATATTTAAGTTCTCAGTTGTAGCTCTGGCTTTATCTTGTTTTAACCTTCTAACACTCTTTTTTATAACTTTATTTTATACTCTTATTATTCTATTATTATTTTACCGTATTTTACATTATGCTATTTTGTTATGACCTGTGGTTGTAACAGTAAACATATACTTACAAAACTCTCTCTTAAAACTTCTACTTAAGACATTCCTAGGGCTTCCTGATGAATTTTATATTCAATATCACTTCTTGGATAAAGATCCTAAAATAACACTGTGGCTAAATTTGCATTATTAGTATACACAACTCATGAGAAATTAGTCAAGCCATAGACTGTTTAAGGTTTAGATAAGATTTACTTCTTCACTATAATTCATCCTGTATTAACATCATCATCATTGTTACATGGCTATTTCATATCTTGTTTTGGTCTGTGGCCATAAATAAAATTTGATTAATTAGATCAGAAAAAAGTCATAGGCATACATTTATATCATTGTTTATAGAAAACCAATAAACTATTTAGTTTTTCTGTTATATTATCATAAATGTTATGATAAAAGGACAAAGCTTTAATATCTTTTATTACTCTTAATCCAACATCCCAGAGTCACTGGTCTGAGATGGACTGCTATATAAATTGAATAAATAAATAAATAAATAAACAAACAAACATATAGCCATTCTTATGTATTAACTATGACTTAATCATATTATCTTGCATAAAATCTTAATATTGATATTATTTCTATTCCATTTTGTAACCTCCTATAGATTTTACCATTTTACTTTAATTTCTGGTGGTCACTTACATAATAAAAAATGTATCAATTTTGATGACACAATGATATAAACAAGAAAAGGTAATGTAGAACTTTCAACATGAATAACCTACCAAATATGTTTGTGGAATGTCCTTTCCTAGCAATAGGTTTCAATTCATTATGCCCCCATCCATATTGCCGATAATTATCCCAGGCATGTTTCATCATCTAAGAAAAACAAATACAAATGTTAGCATAGCAACACTATGTATCATCTGCCAAAGTTTTAACAAAAAAATATTACTTTATGCATTCATCTTAAATGCACAGATTTTCTATTAATGCTGGAAATCAACTGATTACAACTTTCCTCTCATTTTATATTTTCTTATTGTTGGCTATCTTTATGTCTGTTTTAAACTGATTCTTATCTTTGTATGGTACCTAAAGTTGCTTTGGTGATTGTGATAGCTAATAAATTGATTCAATAAAATAAATAAACCTGAAATAGATCTTAAAAATCTGAAAGAATGTCAAATACAAGGGTATGATGTATTTCAAATTTTAATAGTTTGGATCTAATCCAGATCCTTTGCATGGAAGGACTCCTGACTGACAGAGGGAGATGATCCCTACTGAACAGGAGGATGGCAATATTCCTTCCTTCCTCCTGCTATTTCCAGTGCTATCTCACACACTGTTCAGGAGTATTTTTCTACTCTTTAAGGAGATTTTTGAGGAGCTGGTGGCTGCAAAGAGGGGTAAGCAAAAATTGCCTGCTTCCAGGCAAATTCTGAATCCAACTCATTGGAATGTTAAAGTAATTCCTGGAGAAAAAAATATGAGTTGCAGTAATTAACCTAAGAAGAGACTGATTTAATAAAGCCAAGTCTTTAATCAATTTGCAAAAGCAGAAAAATGTGAGGATTGCAACCACTCTTGAAATATCCTAAATATAGATATATAATAATCATTTTATAATCATTTTCTGAACACACATATACATAATTTACCTTATCTGTTCACTTACATTTTCTATCTTAACTGGGATCAATTAGAATTAGCATGATTCCAGTGTTAGCATTATTCTAATAATACTTCCTCCAGCAAACAAGAGATTAAGTAACCATTAAGGGTATCAAAGCAGCACCCTGACCCTCAAGCAAAGGATTCAAAGAACAGATCCAGAGGGATGCTTCATGAGTGAAAAAAGTGCATCACGGAAAAATTGTATGGGGTTAATAATTATATGCAAAGCTTTATCAGAAAGTTAAACGTAGTTGAAGTAATTACTGTCTTTTCTCCTGTTAAAAATCAAAATGTAACAAAGTGGGCAGACCACTGTATCACTGAGAACAGTTCTTTGCTGGGTTGTTTTGCCATTTTAAAAGCTTTTGAATTTATTTTATAAACTAATATGGGTTATTCCGGCCTATGGAGAACCCAGTCTTATTTCTGAATGGCTCATTTCACTTTTAAATGTACGTATTAGACCATTCATGATACTGGAGAGACGAATGCAATAAAATCTTATACCATATCACCAATTCTCAACAGCAGTGCTTTTGGTCAGAGCTTTAGCCAGTTTTGTAGAGTTCTATATTATGGGGAGATTCCTCAAAGACATGAAGGACTTCCCTGATATAGAAGTTCACCCTTGAGTTGAGAAGGATAGCATGAAGATGAGAGAAAAGCCCACATGGTCATCCTTCCGTCTTGCATGTTTTCATTAGTAAGGATCAGGGTGCCCAATGAGGAATAATGTATCCAAGATCTCTTCCACAGATTTCATCAAGTTAGAATATTCTTCAGGAGCCTTGGACTACAATTCCCATCACCCCAAAGAGCACAATGACTGTGCTGCTGGATTGAATGGTGGGTGTTGTGTCCAATAGTTCTACAGATCTCCAGGTTGGAAAAGGCCAAATTATGACTTCATCTTAATCACTAGACAGGTGAAAAGTCAATAAGCATTCATTCTACAGTAAATCAATGATTACATAATTTGCTGCATAAAGCAGTGGCAAATTTAAAATCCAAAACATGAGTAGATACTAAATCATTTACTACATTTAAAGAAAAATAGAATATTTCACTGGAACTCAGAAAATAGGCAATATTCTTTGTGACAATTATAAGAAAACTTTGGCAGCTACCTTATTAAACCTTAGCTTAAGTACACGTCTGATTACATTTAACTTACATAATAGAAGATAATCTATACAAGCAAACTAATTCTGAAAGTATTGCCAAAACAAAGCAGGGAACTTGTTCAGGCAGTTACCAGGAGTCAAGACTGACTTGAAGGCACCAAAAAAAGAGAAAGGCCTCTACAAAACTATATTCATTTCAAATCACTCAAACCCTGAGTTGCGTGCTCACTGCTCTGAGTCATGTACTAGGTAGGGGACTATATAAATTAATTAAATAAATACATTTAATTGTAGTACTGATAACATTTGGTATCAAAAAGTAAAGAGGAAAGAAAATATTGAAGGATTCTAAAGCCACATCATTTAGCCTGAACTGAAGAACTCACCTTTTGCTATAAGCAAAGCATTAGATCTTGCCAGCATCTGGTTTCTAGGGAGTCTACAGATACAAACCAATTGTGGCCATGAAGAAGAGGTGATAACTCCAACAGACAATTTTCCTCTCCTTTATTATTTTCATTATGCCTTAATTTTGATAAGCTATCTGATTCATTTGGATGTGGTTCAACACACTGAGCGAATCCAGCCACTTTGGTTCATTCAATAAGCCATGGTAAAATCAAACATGACTTAACACAAAGTGTGTAATTTTTATTTTTACAAGAAACAAAAGCAAAACAAACTCCACAGCATTCTCATTTGACAGGCAGCATACCTGAGCTGGAAGTAGCGGATGAGATCAGGTGAGGGATAAGCTTACAGTAAGGTTTCCAAGAGCTTTATAGAAATACTTCTCACATCAATAAAGATAAGGAGGTAACAACCATTGGCATAACCCATTACCTCTTTAATTTTATCCCTTTTTTCTCGGATACTTGGATCCACTGGATCTCCACTGTTTATTCCTACAAGATTTGGCACAGGGACTGGTGGCAGAGGATTGTTGTTTTTGCTTTTCAAATTCTTTACAATGTTATTTTTCTCTGTCTGAATTTCTGCTTGGATTTCATCTCTTGACTTCTTCAGTTTCTCTTTTGCTTCCTCTAGTGCTTTTTCATGGTCTGCACGAATTTTATTTCTCAAACGTTCTTCTTCTTCCCTAAATACAAAAACAGTAATGATAAGACTAATTTTTAAAGGCAATTCAAATTCTGTTTTTGAAAAATGTGAACAAAATCACATTATTAGATTCTGAACTTAGTTTGCTATTACCCAAGAATCTACCAGGTATCCCAAGTATAACTGAAGATGATTTGCTAGGTAACTATTACTCTACTAGTTTTGGAGGACTTAAGGAAATTGTGTCAAAAAATTGTAAGAAACAGTTGATAATGGCATTTATAACATTAAGGAAGGAACATGTGAAAGCACCTGTAGTCTTGTACGTGGTGCCTGCGATATACATTTGGAGGCAAAGTAAAAATCTGAGTTTGTTGCAGGATCTGGTTCCCATGTTAGCATCATTGTCCTGTTGTTTTTTGCTCCTTATGAGAATTTGTTTCAGTTGGGTGATTGTCTGTATACAATATGGGCCTGCTACCCAGTGCCTGAGTAAGTACAGTATCATAGTCCAGTGTGGACTATAGCAATAATGCATTTGAGTAGTTTGAGCTGTGAGCCAAAAGTGACAACCAGCGGTGTTCTGTTTTCATGGTCTGTCTTTTAATAGGCCCTCCCTGGGAATCAACCAGCTGTGCTGATTTGTCTATAAATCTCATTATGTAGGTAGTTCAATCTCCTGACATCTGGATTAATTTCATCTCTGTCAAGTGGGTCAGAACAAATTTAGTTGTAGTGTAGAACCTGCCTATAGAAAATAGATTTGGTAATGTGTTCTGGGTGAAAGCTGTACGTATGTAGGAATTAATGGTGACCTTTAGGTTTTCTATATAATGTGGTGTTTATATGTGCATTGTGTAGGTTTACTGTGACATCAAGGAAGTGGACTTGTTCTGTAGATAGGTCAAGGCTGAGACTGATGGTGAGGTGAAAGTTGTTTATATCATTATGGAATTTGATGAGATATTCATTTCCATGGGCCCAGATGATGAAAATGTCATCAATAAGATTCATTAAGTAAAGGAAGGGCTTCAAGTAAAAAGAGTTGAGAAAATGTTCTAGATCACCCATGAAGGCCTTGGCATATTGTGGAGCCATGCATGTGCCCAGGGCTGCACCACTGATTTGCAAATACATGCAATCCAATGGTGAATTAGTTATGGGTGAGTACAAATTCATATAGTCTGGTGGCAAGGTATGCTATGATGGTACCAGTGATTATGTTTTTGATGGCTTGAAGTCCATGTTGTGGGGGTCATTGGTACATTATCTCCACGTATGATCAGATTTCACGGGGTCTGTACTTAGACCCTATGCCACCAGCACTCCCAGCTACATAAGAGACACCATAGACTTCCTAAGAAGACTAAACTTCATGGGCAATCTCCCTAACACCACCATTTCAGTCACCATGGATATTGAGGTACTATACACTAGCATCCCCCACCTTAAACAAAATGTACCCAGAGCTCTCTCATGATGTCCTCAATATAAATTCACAACCTTGGGATTGAGAAATATTTGATTGTTTTATTGTGATTGTGAGCTCCTTTGAGCAATCACTGGAAACCCAAATATAAATAAATCTGCACTTTAATCTTACATATTATGTCTACATACAGAGTGTGCATTGGGTATGTAAGGAGATAGCAGAACTCTAATTGTGCCATACACAGCAGGCTAATCAACTGCTGTTTAGCATGCATCATTTAGAAACTGACTTTAGCAACTGAATATAAAATGTGTAGTTTATTATGAGATAGCCTTTTAACTTTCAAGATTATAAGAACAGCTTTCTCACCCAAACTGATTTAGTGACTTCTCCTTCAAACTGGCTGGGAGATATAGTGACTATACAAAGTAGAGATATTTCAAATGTATTGACATGAAATCTCACTCTGAATATTTGAGAAACAAAACTTGGTCTTCTTGGTGAAGGTAACATATTTTTTATATCAGAACCTATGTTTAAATTTTGACATTCTTGTTAAGGAGTATAGTTCTAAACAATGTTAAAATGGCTTATTAATCAGACAGCAGCTTTTTTATAAAGATGAATTTTCCATATTTGATCAGCTTCAGTTTTTTATCTTGAAGTAATAATACATTTATTTATATAACATTTTTACTAGTCCAAAGCAATGGCTTTTGTTGACATTATTTTTCTGAAACATCCCAATGGTATATTGAGTGTTACAGCTATATTTTAACATCTCTCATTATAGGATGGAAATTTTTCACTGCAACATTCCAACATTTATTTATGTATTTAGTATACCACTGCAATCTACACTGACCCCTGGCAGTTAACCTCAATAAAAGCAGTATATATGTCTTGTTGGGGAGCATGTACCAGATGGGTTGATTCTACATGAAGACAGCAATTCTGAAAGTAGCTATGAGCCAAGCTTATAGGTTAAACCCAGCATTTTGAACTACCCTTGAAACTTAATGATAACCAGTGTAACATATGCAACACAGAGGTCATATGTCTACATCAACTCTCACTTGCAGATTGTAGTATGTTGTACCAACTGTAGTTTCTGAGTGGTCTTCAAAGGTAGCCCCATGTACTTTGCACTGTAGTATTGCAGCCATGAAGTAATAAGGATAAGCTGTTTTTGCCAAGGCTTTCTGTTCCAGATAGGGCTGCAACTGAAATTGGGAAAGCCCATCCTAGCCACAGCCTCTTCCTGTCAACCAGCAGTAGCTATGTGTCCAAACGGATCTCCAAGTTATGGATCTGTTCCTTTGGGGGAATGTCATTCTATTCAGAGTTACAACCAGAGCCAGCAGGGAAGCTTTCTGAACAGCAGCTCCATCTTGCTGTTTTGTCCCATCCGGGCACCAACATCTTCCAAATATGAAATCAAGACCTGACTACATCTCCAGATCAGCTCAGGGCAAAGATGTAAACCTGAATATCATCAGCATACTGATGATGCCTCACCCCAAAATGGATGATCTCCCCCAATGGTTTAATGGAGATACTAAAGAGAGGGGAGAAAATCACACTCTGCAGCATGCCCCAAGAAAGCACCACCAGGTCAACCTCTCCTCTTCTATGGTCTGTTCAGGAATTGTTAACACTGTGCCTGTGATTTTCTATCCTCACAGATTATCCAGAAAGGACACCATAGTTGATAGCAACAAATGCAGTTGAGGGATCTAATAGGACCAGAAAGGATATACTCCCCTCCCTATTTGAGTCACACCAAAGGTCATCTAACAGAGTGACCAGTACTGTTTCCATCCCATAACTATGCATGACTTCCAAATGAAAGAGGTTTAAATAATCTGCTTCCTTTTCGGCCCTTTGTAACTGGCACTCCACTGTTCTCAACAACCTTCCCCGAAAAGGAAGGTGAACACAAAGTGAGTGCTGTTCAACTTGAAGAGGGGAATACACCACCACCTCCTTCAAGACACTGGCATCATCCCCTTCCTCAAAGAGGCACTACCTCACTGACCAAGTTCATCACATTTACTCCAGCCACCCAAAGGAGACAGGAAAGTCAGAGATCTAACCCATGACAGAGGTCATGTCAGAGAGCTTTCTCTTCACTTCACTGAAGTTTGCAGGCCAGAAGGAATCCTAAATAACACAGCAAGATGTCACCCAGGCACTGCTTCAAACATGGGAAGAGTCAAGACTCAAGCATATGTAATTACTATCAGGAAACTAATCAGGAAATATGTAGTTACTCTTCCTGCCCGTCTTTCCCTAGCTGGGATTGGGCAAACTTGTAAACAAGGCTACTGGACAGCAATCCACTGACACAATAAGAGTGGAAAAATACAATAATTATGCATTTACCACCATAACAATGAGGGGGGGAAAGTTCACTACATGTGTTATGGGGTTCACAGAATCTAAAAAAGTAGATACAGTAATTGTTTACAAAACATTACTAGCTTAGTACATCTGTATATTCCTCACTTATCAGGAAAACTGTTGGCTAATTTTCTCCCCTGTTTATCAAGTAATTTTTACCAAGAGAATTAAAAACTTCTCACCCTAATGATCTTACAGGTATACTGGGCGATAAAGAAAAGCATCCAGTTCTTGAGATTTCTGTAACCTAATCTTTACTCTCTTTCAATAAATGTGATTATAGACAACGTGGTAAGAAACTTGTTTGCCAAAGGCGTAACAGCAGGTGACAATATCTGGTCAACTTGTCCTGGGCTCAAAAGCTAAAAAGGGCCACATGTAGTTAATTCTTGGATGAGAGACCACCAGTAGTAAAAACAGAGGATGGCCTTGTAGGACAGAGGGAAGATTAATTCCCAAGGCAATGATCAGAAAAACGAGACTTGAGCCCAGACCAAGAAAATCTTAGTCTTATAAGGCTAACACCACCAGAGAATTCCAGGTCTGTGTATTAGACTGAAAAATCAAAAACTATATTGGAAAAGGCAATAGCAAACCACATTTATAATGTTGCCAAGAAAACTGCATGGATGTATCCATTTAGTCATCAGGAGTTCACTCAATCTGAATAAACATTTTCCTTTTATATTTTTTTGTGGAAAACTTTCCATTTCTAAAAAGACACTGTTTCATAAAGATCCTAATGAAGAGATAAAATGAAAAGGAAATATATTGCTCCTAAGTTTTTACTTTTTGAAAGGGATGGATGGATCGATGGATGGATGGAAAGAATAAAGGCTTCCCTTCTGAAAGCCATGCACACTTTTTTCTTCCCCTTCTCAATCTGATTTGTTCCTTGTCCCCCTATTTTTCTTCTCCTTCCATCCTCATTTCCTTTTCTCTTGAGGTTAACAAATAACAAGTTTTTATATTTACCCCAAACCATATAGCAGCTATTTTATGACTAATCCATGGCATTTTTAAAACATTCCCTCAGGCAAAAAGGCTGAGGACCTGGTCTACTAATTCATTATAATTTGGACAAATTACTTTTTCTTGATGTACAGTATAATCCAATAATATGTTTGTTATTATTAAAAGAGTAATACATATATTACTTTCCTATAAAGTTTTTTTCCCCAAACATTTTCTTTCAGTGCACTTAA